TGTGGTGTGTGTGTGTGTGTGTGTGTGTGTGGGCGTGCGTGTGTGTGTGTGTGTGTGTGTGTGTGGGTGTGTGTGTGGGTGTGGGTGGGTGGGTGCGTTTGCGCGCGCGCGAGCGCGCGTGCGTGCGTGCGTCTGTGCGTGTGCGCGTGTATGCGTGCGTGTAGGAATGTCTTCATTCTCGCAAAATCAGTTCTTGTTGCGAATCTTCATTTGGCTTTCAGGACAACCGTGCGTGAGCCATGCGAAACTTCAATTGTCAGCCTTGTCCTGCTTGTGGTATTTGCGGTCTTCGACCCGTGCGCAAGTACTCGTCTATGCCCACAGGCCTCCACCTGCCAACTTGATGCGGAATCTTGGGTCATCTTGGGTCATGTTCAGAACCTCGTCGATGGTCTGGGTTCCGGGAGGATGACGGTTCTTGGCAGAGGCTTCCGAATTTTGAGAAATCAGGGATTGGTGGCCTTGTGTCCTTCTGTGGGCTTCAGCTCGGGTGGACAACGCGCTCTGAGGAGAAATACGCCAGATATGCCTAACTTCTTTGTAGATACCCTGCACAGAGTGATCCTCCACTCACGATCCTCGTGTTTTCGGTATCTGGTCCAGCCTTTGCTCTCTCTCACGTGTCTGGACTTGGCACGGGCTGCGTGCCGCTTCTTTGGCTTGGCACTGTCTCCAACATCACCGAGGCCCAGACTCTGCTCTTTGAAGCTTCAATGAGCAGAGGTCCACTCTAAACCCTGAAGCCCCTAGACCCTCGCCACAACCCTCTCGGCTTTGCATGCGCTGCGTGCTAGAAGCTGCTAGGAACGGGCACGCCAAAGGAAAGGGCCAGATTCCGTAAAGAGCACATGCCGCAAAATTGGGAAACCGGCATTCCGAGCTGCTGACCACAGACCGCAATTCTTAGCCGTTATAGCTGTTTGACTCTTCAAGCATATAGATCGATTTCGAAACCCGGAATCATGAGCTCGGGGGTTCTATGACTACCGGTGTCTCTTGGAAGTACAAGGGGCTCAATGTGCATGCTCGAACCTACTGCAGCAGTTTTGGCCCCCTCAGTCCATTTGGCACTGTCATCCCAAGTCGTCATGTCTCAGCCGGTGGCCCTCTCAGCCCCTTGACTGAAGCTGGTTGTACATTACGTACACATCGACTCACCTAGGTCCGCCACAGCAGGGGTTTCGGAATCCTTCGTTGTTCTTAGCTAGCCAACTCTCGGCGCTTGTTCCGGGAAGATGCAGGTTGAAGTAAGGATGAGCTGCCACTTGGGATAGAAGTGCCAAACGGGCTTCATGTCCCAAGACAGAAGCGTGTCGGTTGCTGCATAACCTTTGTGTCATTGAAGGCTATGATCGGCGCCGCTGCGCTCGGCGGCTGCGCCTTCTTGGCGCCAGGCCTGGCTGCAGCTCCTGCGACGTCTGCGACTGTATCAGACGCGAATAGCCGGCCCAAGCTTCAAATTGAAAGCCCTGCAGTGTATAACTCGCCTCCCTGTTGACCAGGCACCTCCCCAGAGGCGGCGCCAAGGGCGCTGCGTGGTGCAGCTCAGGAGCAGCGCTTCAAGGGGAGCTCAGGGGGGCTAGAGTGACTCACATAGTGACATGTTGTGGTAGAGTCGAGCGCGCCGGAGCCAGTACCAATTACAAGTAGGCTTGTGTGCCACCGCTACAGACAGCGAAACCGTTCACGACTACACGCAAGTCTTCCCCATTCTTCCCCGCACCCTTTCTGACGACAGGCCTCAGGGTGTGGTGCTATTGAGTCCAAGAGCCGACCCACAACGAAAACAGGTTCTGCTTCTGCATATCAACTAACGCAGATGGGGTAAGGGCCTGGCCCAGTGCCCAGGCTCGCCAGGGCGCCGCCGCCTTTGGCAGTGCCGCCCCGTCCGCGTTGCTGGGCGCTGGGGTGGCTGCGGCGCGGGGTCCCGGACGGGCATGCGTCTTTCTGGGCTCGGTTCTGTTCATGTCGAAGGCTAGAGCGAGGTTCACGGAGTCATGGAGAAATATCTGGCTCGTGTGCCCCTATCGTTATCCAGGCAGCAGCCACCGTTTGCAGGGCGGCTGCTGTGAAGAAGAAGGGTGTGAAGGCCATGGGCAGGAGCTTGATGTTCGGGTTGCGTTCTGCGCAAGTCGGTTTTGGAATCCTGAATGCTTCGAAGCACCCCACTGCAATATCATGGCAGCCTTTAGCCGGATTGGTAGTTGAAATTGACCCAGAGTCGTTGGGCCTGCTTCGCCGCAGCCCCTGCAAGCTAACCCAAATGCCAGACTCTGAGCCCTCATTCAGACTCAACCAGCCGCCAGGTGGTCCACGGCAAAGAGATCCCTTGGAACCTTTTCACGCCCAAAGCGCCCTACAAGGCCAAGGCGCAGCCAGGGCAGACTTCAGTCTTACTCGTGACCCGTGACCGTGTCCTTTTTGATTGCTATCCGATGTCTCACCTTCATGGCTTCTCATCACCTGAGGACTCAAACTCCGTTTCTAACCCCCTGCTTGTTTTAGGGATGCACCGCACCGGCAGGGGCCTCACGGCACCAGTTGTTTTTGCGGCAAAAGGGGGGCTGCGACCGGGTTGCCGCTCGAAGTCTTGCGCGTTTCGGGTCCAATTCGCATTCTTCATGCCTGGCATAGTCGCGATGCGCATTTGTTGCTCCAAGCAGCGCACCCCCCACTCGAAGCGTCTCGCTTCTTGGTTCCATGTTTCTCCTCGAAAAGAAGTCTGAGTGTCTGAGGTCTGCTGCACGGAAGCCTGCCCGAACAAGAGCAACGGATACGGTTTGGCCTTGAAGGATAGCAGTGGCATGCGGCGGCGTTACGCGCAGCCACTTCAGTACTGAGAGCACTGAGAGCGCCTGATCCGTGAAGGCATGTCAGAAAGCCTTTCAAGATTTGGACCACCGAATACCACCGAATCACCGCCGCGGTTTGTAGGCACAAAAGCTCCGCGTCTGGAGCCCGTTCAAGGCATTCAAAGCCTACAGGCGAACAAGAGGCCGCGCTCCAGCTAAACCGACAGACCCGGAAAGCCCGATAAGCACGTAACTCGGCGCAACCAGCTCTGCATCCCTAGCTGCCCTAGCTGGCATCAACCCAGAGGGCATGGGAGATCCAACTCCCACCTAAGCCTCCCCGGCATCGAAGCCACAAGCCGGTTCAAGCAAAGAGAGAAACCCTCGCCCACCGACTCCTTTTGCGACTTTGAAGGACCCAACCCTAAAGCTTCAGCACACGGGGACCAAGGTTTTAAGGATGTTCAAGCGGAGCTTTTGCTTCAGGTCGTTCCGAACCAGAAGCATCCGCAGACGTTGACGGAGGACACTGGAACCAGCCAACGGGTACAAGCAGGATGACTTGTCTTCAGGAACTTGAATGAGTTCGCATTTCACCTTGAATCATCTGATCATGCGGCCTATGTCCAGCTGATGTGTGCTGTGTATTTTCTTCGGTTTCAGGTGGATCGGTGGACGGCCCTAGCCTTTCATGTCTGCGTTGCTGCCAGGGAGGGGAAGTGGGCCAAAGAGGGTGTAGGCGAGTCCCGCTTAGCCGTGTTTAGGAATTCTGGACAACCGTGACCTATGCACTTCATTCAGACCACAGCGAAACCCGCACGGCGCATGGGTGTCAAGCACTGGAGTAGGCTATTTACGCTAAACAACACTGCGTGGGCTGCAGCTTCAGGGTAAAGGAGCTCTACTCCGGCGAAGAGCATGCTCCGATCACCGTAGTGACGCGTCTATCCAAGAGTCTGGAGCCGTGCCACGTTGCGGGGTGCAAACCAGTTGGTGGGAATCTCTTGCGACAGGAAACCCTAAGCCAATTCAACCTTTCTGGATCCGCCGGGCCTTCGGGGCGGGCCGCCGTGTCGGCCAGTGTTGGAAAAGATCTCATTTTAGATCATTCGTCGGCCTGCGCAGATGCCGCAGGACACCGGCGACGCCAACTGGGAGACGACACATGCGGCTCGGCCTTGTGAACCGGACCACGGGCTGTATCTAACTTGACAAATGAGCCCCAATGCTGGGCCTTGAACTCCAACCTGAAGTGACGAAGCAGAGATCCCCCGCAACACCCACAAAAGGTTCGAGATCGTTGGAACAGGTCACCTTCGACCATGGTGGTAACGTCCCCTACATCGAGGGCCAGTCCATCGGTGTGATTGCTCCAGGACCATGGCGACGTGAGATGTCTTTTGTGCCCACGTGAGAGAACGCGGAGCTTCAGGCAATAGAATGGCGAAAGCTGCATCAGAAGCATTTATAAGCCAGGGAGGTCTTGAGCCAATGGCCTTCTGAAGGACCCGACAAGAAGGGTGAGACCCCGGCCAGGCAGGGACTGGGCTCAAGGTATACGGTGTACGGTATAGCGTTTGGGGAATTTCTGCTGATTCCTCATTGGCGTCGGCGGCAAATCAAGTTGGGAACAGGGTATCCGGCAACTACACAGCCGGTGCTGAGAAGTTAGGAACCCGTAGTCCAGGATCCGCCTCTACTCCATCGCCTCCTCCGCGGTCGGCGACGACGAGACCTCTAAAACAGTGTCCCTGTGTGTGAAGCGTGTGGTGGAGGCGCGGGGCTCATCCCCACCTATCTCCAACACGTCCGGCCTGGGACGAAACCACCCTGTGAAAGTTGAAGGTCTCAAGGGCTTCATGGACCTTAGAATGCCTTAGAAACCCGAAGCCAACCTGTAATAGGAGGAGGTGGGAAACTGCACATGATGTGGTGGCGTCGGCTTGCAAGGTGGGGTTGAGCAGCGGTGTAGAGGGTAGAGCTTCCACCAGGTTGATGGGCAGCATGCCAACCGCGAGGTCGGAGAGGAGCCTAGTTGCAGACCGCCTTAGAAGATGGGCTAAGCATGGCTAAGCAACTGCAGGCTCTCGAGTCTAGGGGAGTCCAGGCGGCCCGAAGAGATCCAAGTTGCCAAGCAGGACAAGCCGGACAAAGCCGGCACCGCCTTCCCGAAGAACAAGGCATGGACTTCCGGGAGCTGTCAGCGGCTATTCAGCTGCTATTCTATGACACTACCCATTACAGAATGCGTCTTCGTGGTTGGCTTCGGTCCTTTTAGCCCTCGTTCCTGGCCTTGCAATCCTGTCACTTGTTGTGGAGGTCTACCGTGGCGTTTGCTCCAACCACATTTGCGACTTGAGCGTGGGGGACGATGCCACGTGGCCCCGTGTGTGGACTTCTTGATAGAAATTGTGCTTGCGCGCGCCGCCTCGGCCCAATGCGCGTTCGGGCAGGTCTTACAGGATTACAGGGGAGGGGGTGGACGGCAAATTTGCGGGAAGGGTTGGGAAGGGGAGACGGAGACCAGATCCTCGTCTGCTTGATCCAGACGCCTTGCGGACGGAGAGGTGAACAAATGGCCAAACAGTCTGCTGTATCAGAGTCGGGCCTACGGGCTGCATGAATGTAAACTTCATGCTAAGCTGCAGAAAACTAAGGTGATGATCACGGGCCCGACCGGTGCGGAGATGCTGCTGCCAGAGGCACTCAGGGACCAAAGCTTGAATGCGAGCACCCCCAGCAGCAGCACAGGCAGACACAGGCCGCATAAAGGTTCAGTAAACGAAAGGCAAGCTCGAAGCAAAGCACCCGATCGGAAATGTGGATCCTAGAAAATCCGCATTCGGTGTCTGTTGATCCTCGTAATTTTCGGGATCTTAATTCAGCCGCAAGACGTTAGCGACCTTGGTCGTCAGCCACAATCCTACGAAGACAGGCTGAAGTCGGAACGACAAATGCCTCACGCATGTTGCTGCAGGATCCAGAGGCCAATATCGTCATGCTGGCGACAGGCCCAACGGGTTGTCAGGTGAGCTTTTGCAAGCTTTGATTGGGGTGTTGGGTTGCACCTTTTGGAGAGCTGCCGCCTCCATGCCGTGCACTGTCTTTTTATGCTGCTGGCTGTCGCTTTGCCAGCGCTGTTTGCTTGGTTTGTAGGATCGCTGGTATTGTTTCGATGTTCAGGGGCGCCCAGTGTCGACGATTCTCGCTGCAGTTCACGGCAGGAACCGGCATCGCGCCCATGCGTGCGTACTGCCGCCTGCTCTTCAACGACAAGGTGCCAAGGTTATGCTACATCGAGCAAGTACCACCCAGCCGTAGGATGCAGGGGCTCTTTCTTGTTTCACCCACCATTTGGCTGGCCGTGCTGTTCATTAGTTGAGCACCGTGGTTGTGATGCACTTCAAGGAAAAGATGAGTGAGGCAAATCTCTTGATCGGCTGTCACGCTGGAGTGTTGGAATCACCTGGGCAGTGCGCCCTGAAAGGTGGGCGGGGAGGGCGACTCCCGCAAGTTCAAAGGTCTGGCGTGGCTCTTCATGGGTGCGCCTGGCCTCTAAGGGCTCCAGATTTGGGATTTGTGTGCGTCTCGGAGGTTGTTGGCTACCGGTAGGGGTCTAAGCCGCCAAGGCAGCTTGTTTTGAGGGTGTGTGTGTGTGTGTCTTGGTGCCGCAGCCTTGTTTTGAGTGCACAAGTTGCTTAGAGCCTTCGAACCCAGCAAGACAATTCAGGACAATCCTGAAGTCGGAAGATCTCGGAAGCCGAGGTGCCTTACAGCAAGTCGTTGCTGTATGACGATGAGCACCAGGAGCTGGTTTGGGCAGTTTAGGCAGGTTACACGATTGAGAGCAACTCTTCGGAGGGCAGACGCAGGAGTACGTTTCCAAGTACCCCGACCAGTTCCGCTACGACTACGCCGTAAGCCGTGAGCAGAAGAACGACGCTGGGCAGAAGATGTACATCCAGACCAAGATGGCCGAGCCGCTCGGCCGACGCGGTGTGGAAGACCTTCAACAGGACTTCCAACTGGGGCAAGCACGGCACATGTCCCCCAACCTGAATGCGAGGAAAGGCAGCAAGCATGAATTCAACCAACAGCATCGGAAAGTCTCATGCCATGAAGATGAGCTGAAGCGGGCGGATGTAGCTGGCGTTCGTTGAGGATTGTATTTAGGCATGTTTCAAGGTAAGGCAATGACTTGAGAAAGAACTGCCATCCGGCAACGTTGCAGCCAACCCTGGCGCCCTGTGACCGTATCTCGAAGGGTTCTGCAAGTAATTGTTTGTGTGTTTGTGTGTGTGTGTGTTCTTAGGAAGCCCCTCGAAAATTCGAGCTGCTTAGGCTTCTGGATGTGTGCTTCTACCTGGGTGTTGCTTGTTTGTTTGTGTGTGTGTGCGTGTATGTATGTCTGTCTGTTTGTTTGTCTGTCTGTCTGTCTGTTTGTCTGTCTGTCTGTCTGTCTGTCTGGATGTGTGTATGTGTGTGTGTGCTTGCTTGTTTGTTGGGGCTTGTTGAGTCGTCTGCCGCTCTTCGGCGTGGCGGGTTCGGAAGCTGTGGTCGAAGGGCTAGCTGCTAGTTAGCGGCTCGCACAACGCCAACCCCCCACGTCGCCAAAGCGCCAAAGCGAGGTATGCTGAGGAGCTTTGGGAGCTGATGCAGAGCCCGAAGACCCACATCTACATGTGCCCCTTCCTGTTGGGGGGGTGTGTGCCGTGCGCTTGCAGTTCTTGGTGGGGGGGGGGTGAAGTTGAGGGTAAGCTTCTAGCCACTGGATCTGGAGCTGCTTTCTTTAAGCCGTTCGAGGCCGAAGCGCCGTTTCCTGCCCCTCAAAAGGTGCGGCCTCAAAGGCATGGAGTCCGGCATGGCGGAGTGCTTCTCCCCGATCGCGGAGAAGAATGGCAAGGCAGGCGCAAGGGTGTCCTCTACCTTCTTAAGCCACTCTAGGTGATGGAAGCCACTACATATGAGTACCGTTCAGGCTTCTTTGCATCACTGAGTTTCTGTCCTACTTGGCCCTACTACTCTTGCATGTGTGTTTTCAGTGCCGTCACACACGTGGTGATACATTGAAGCCCATCCTCGCGACACTTGTCCCTGTAAAGGACTGGGCCGAGTTTGCCAAGGCGATGAAGAAAGCGGACCGCTACCATGTGGAGGTTTACTAGAGCCTCAAGGGGCTTTTAATCACGGCGTGGCCTTGTTAAAGGTTTTGTGGCATCCAGCTTGGACCATATCTTTGATTTTGAGGTTGAATGCTTGGTTTGAACGCAAAGGCCCACGACGTCAATAAGTGCATTTCTCCCCGAACGCGCTGGCACTACAGAGAAAGTGCTCGCAGACATGGCGCTGCCTCGGTGATGCGACGAAAAGCTGAGTTGCGAGGATGCAGGGTCTTTGTAACGCTTACAGCGCCCCAGAGAGAGACCGGGCTCAACAGGCTCCAGCCTGTAGTTCATGGCGGCTGGAGGGGGAGCAGTTTCTGTTTGCAGACGCAGAACTCGCTGGACCGTTCTGCCCGGGAACCATCATGATCGATCGGTTCCTCTCTCCCTCCCTCCCTCCCTCTTTGTATCCTTGAAAGTCCTGAAGCATGGGCCGCCCAGAGGCGCTGGTCAGAACAGAATTCCAAATCACCAACTCCAAGGTTGGGGCATACTGTGGGGGCCCGCAGCCTCTAGCGGGGCTCCAAACAGTTGGTGCCAATGGAAGGCAGCCAAGCAATGTCAGAGGATTGCCGGCCATACAAGACCGAGACGGCCTAAACCCACAATGCCGGCCCACAAAGGGGTGCGGCACGAACCTGAAGCAAAACCCATCACCATGCCGCTCTAAAGTGCTGGAACTCATTGAAAACCCAGTAATCGTAAACCCTAAGCCTTATGTTCAAGGTCCTTTGACCCTTGGAAGGTTTGAAGCTCTATTTCCTCAAAACATAAACAAGTCGAAATCGGAGACCAGCTCCACTCGACAAACTCTTCACGGAGCTCTTGAAGCCAACCTTGAACTGCAAAGAGATTCTTGAACCCCGAGCCTTCAACTACGCCTCGACCTATGCCGCAGCAGACCAGGCGCGTGCAGTAGTGGAAGTAGTTTTTTCAATTTGAAGCGGCATCATCAGAAAACACCAACGCCCGCCAAAGCCCGCGGCCCGTCGCAGCTTCTCTTCCTGTTCACAGCGTTCGAGAGTCGTAGCTTCCGGCGGCTTCCGATCAAATTGCAGCTTAAAAATGGCCCTACGGTCTCTGCGGCTGTACGGCTTCCTGGCTGCAGGTCTCTTCCAACAGTCGGCCCCAGAGGCTGTGTCAGGTGCGGACGTCTTGGCTGCCGACGATGAATGTGAAGAGGGCTCCTGCGCGCTTGCGGCCTTGCAAATGCGAGGCAGAGCTGTTGAAGATGGCAAGCACGTGCCATGGATGACACCACCTTCATCACAATTGTGGGGCCGGCCACCGTACATGCCGCCACCCTACATACCGCCACAGTACTACATGCCACCGTCCTACATGATGCCACCAGGCTACATGCAGCCGCAGTACATGCACCCACAGCCACCAGAGCCACACAACATGCAGCCACAGCAACCACCGGAAGAGCATCCACCACCCGTGAGGCGGCGCTGCATTTACGGATGTAGCACTTTGTTTCGACTAGAAAGGTCTAAGGTCTTCGGTCTTCGGTTCAAAAGTCTGTCTTTAGTCGAGGTTGCGCCTTGCATGCATGTCCACATTCAACAGCTTTGGTGCCGAAGCCACGGTCTAGAGCACCACCACCAAATGCAAGCATACTGTGGAGAGTGCCAAATCTGAAGTCACATTCCTTCATATGACTGCACTATGGTTCCAAGCCCATGTTCGCAGGCAGGTGTCATACTTGCCCCTCTCACCTAGCGGCTGGGGCATGATCGCGAATGACGAAGGCCTGGCACTTGTTTTTGGTGCGGGGAGCGTGCGCGACTGCCATGGCAAAAATGCTGTTGCCACATGCATCTTTGAAGTTCTGTCTTGTTTGCATTGGGTGTTTTTCGAGGTCCCAAAATCCCAGATCTTAACAACTCCAAGGGCCTGTACACTCATAACCTAGGCTCATGACCTGCAAACCCTGCCCCACCCATCCGGCCTCCAGGCATGGAGATCCGGCAACTGCAATCTGACTTGCATGGTTGCGAGAATGCTTGCAGCCAAGCTGAGTAATCTGGGCTTCTGATGAGTGGGGGGGAGCACGGCTAGCATAAGAAAAGTGCCCCGCCCCCTTCTTCCGAGTCCGTTTACGTGCATGGGAACAAATAGAGAGGAGGCTCTCATTCGCTCCGTGTGGGTTAAGCTTGGAATCAGAAGGGGGGGTGGACCAACCCAGAAGGGGGTGGACCAACCTGCTACACGAAGCCTAGCAAAAAAGGAAGCCCAGGCAACGCGGTGCGTTCCCGAGTAGGGAAGCTTAGAGAATTGGGGCAGCAGGAAGGCTCCCAAGAGACTATAGCCCCAAAGTTTCATTGCCGCCAACAACCCACCACAGCTCCCTCTCCGATGTTTTTTCCATAATTAGTGTTTGACCAGGATCCCGGGTACCACGACCCGAGATCGCACAAGACACAGAGTGCTAAGTAGCACCTCCCCAGCCCTATCAATGGGAGCCCCGGCCCGATCCCTGTCATCTTTAGGGGCGTGCTCCCTCCAGCCCCAGATTGCGGAAGCAGAGGGAGGTCATCCCTTTGTTGTTTAATTTTGGTAGCTCCCGGTATCTTCCTTACCCTTTGTAAATGGGACTGGCAAGGTGGTACACCTGGACTTTTGGGGCAGCTCTTAAACTACTCGCAGGCTGCCAGCCCGCACGCCTTCCCCAAACGACACACGCCCCCCAGCTCTTCAGCAAGCGCTCGCTGCCGGCCCGCACGCAACACACACCCCACAACACGCCCCCCGGCTCTTAAGCAAGTGCGGGCTGCCAGCCCGCACACTTTCCACTACCGACAAACAGGCTTTGTTTGGGTGGTGCTCGAAGACTGATAGAAGTATAGTCGCTAGAACAATCAAACCCGGGGGGTCAAAGCAGCTCCAGTGCAGATGTGCAGGTGTGCAGTCCGCAGTTCTGTATTCTGTAGGCAGCCAAAAAAACAAGTAGATAAGAATACAAGCAGGCAAGGCAGCAACAATTAGGTTCGGTGTGAGGCAGATTTAGGCGCTGGGTGCTTAAGCTCAGTTACTCTCCTCGCCTTTCTGGGGTCTCCGCCCCTGAAGTGTGGTGCGCCATTGCTCTCAGGTACAAATGAACCTGCTTGCCATAGCTTCGTTTTCTGCACCTTCGGAGGCACGTTTCGTGGTTTTGGTGCTATTCGGTGGCGTGTAGCAAAGCAAAGGCAGCAGCAATAAGAAGCACCACGAGCAAGAGTTGTGCTCTGAGCCCGAGCAGGGAAAGAGGGAAAGCACCACCCGAACATGGCGGCTGACGTGGGTGGGTGGGTGGCGAGTGGCGGGCGGGATGTCGGAGCACGGGCAAGAAAACAAGAACCCCATGTAGTGATGTGGGGAATGAATTGATGCATACGAGCTGATGGATGCTACGGCTGATGAAATGAGTTTTTGTGTTTCGTAGTTCGTAAATTTCGATCTTCATGCCGAGTTGCACTTACCACTTACGAAGCGTTATTATGTGGACTACTTCTTCCTACATATCAAATACGAATGATTACTTCCTAGTAAGCATGTTTCAGCGAATAGTTCATTACTCGTTACTAGTAACTTGATTGTTGCTGCTATTGTTCCCTTTACGATTGCTGGTGTCATTATGAACTTTTTTACTAGTACGACTGTTAGTATTTGGGTGTAACAGCCACAGGGTATGATTATCACGCTTTCTATTCCTGGCCTTTTACGAGTGCTGCCAGTAGTCCTATTGCTATTCACAATTCCATTCCCACTCTTACTACTGTGCTGCTGCTTCCGTCGCTACTCCCCTCTGCTACTGGCAAAGTCAGCTTCAAAGCAGCAATCGGCCAAAGAGGTTGCTACCTGAAGACCGGGCAGTTCCACACTGGGCAGGAGCCCGTTCACTACAGCGGCGTGGTCTGCAAGAACTGACCGTATTGTCAAAGCTTTCGTGACTGCCTTATGCCACATGGACAGAAGTTTAGCGGCTTTCGTTTAGCGGCAACAGCCTCGATCGGGCACCATGCCATAGAAGCGTTCGGAAATATTGGTTCGTGGCATAACGCATGTTGTTACGAGTATCAAGAAGCTGTCTTGGATGGATGCTGATTGGCTGTTGCTGGGTTGTGTAATGCCGCGCATCCGTTGAGTATGGTGTCGGCTGGCACCGGCCAGCAAACCGCGAAACGGCAAGCCTGCTCGGTTTGGACGGCCACCACCGCTTGCCGGTGGACGGCCGCCACTGCTTGCCGGTTGTAGCTGGTCAAGAAGCCGGTCGAGCAACCAATCAACCAAATCCGCAAGTGAAACTTCAGATAATTGTAGTTGTTGTTAGTTGCCGTTTCAAACCCGAGCAAAGAGCCACCTCAGGCGAATCCTCGAAGAACAGTTCATCGATTGAGGGATCAGAAGGCCAAACCTGAGAAGCCAGGTGGCTTCTGTTCCACCTACTGGACGCCAGCCGAAGACTCGTCGCAGCCGTTGGTGAGGCTGCAACGCTGCCGGCAGGGTTGGATGGGGGTCTCAGAGCAGAGCGTGTTGTGGACATCTGGTTCTGGTGCAAGCAACCGTCCATCAAAAGTTTTACTTGCCCGTTTTTTCATTGAAGCCCTATTTGCAGACTCCACAGAGCATTGAGAACCAACCGTACAATCTTGGAGGCAAAGTGGCTGAAGGTGAGAAGCTAAGCCAAGCCGCCCTTGCCGCTATTAGCAAGTTGATGACGGGCACCCCAGACTCGATGTCTTTTTTCCACCAATCAAGCCTAGTTTCATCAAAACAAGAGCCTGCCTCCCAGCCTGCGGAGTCGCATGCGAGGCCGACGCTGCCACCTGCTTCTTGTCACAAGAGAGAGGGGCAGAGGACGTCAAGGCGTTTCGCTTGTGGGAACACCTCCTAAGACCCCACACTGTGCTTAGGAACCTCAGAAACCACATCGGCGAAGATCCTGCTGAGGTTCAGCATGTTGAGGTCAAGCAGTGCGGCAAGGACCAGGCCCCTCCTGTGCCGAAGTGTTCGAGTTTTGGATAGAAGGTAGGAAGGGGAGGGAGAGGGGGAGAAAGGCTAGCAGCTGTAGCCGCAGCCACCCGCGCTCGTCCCCCCCCACATGTCAGGGCAGCTCCAAACGTCATGGCCGCCCTCCGTGCAGGGTTCAAGAGGGGGAACTAGTCTTAATTTAATGCAGACCAAGATTCCGTTGAAAGTACACTCCGAAAGGAGGGGCAGGGGGAGGGGGGGGATGGGGGAGCGAACAAAAGGGGCAGGAGGGGGAGGAGTGGGGGGGGGGGGGGGGGTGATGGGGAACACATACCTGGCAAGCGCAACGGTCTTTTTGGCTTCATTGGCGGAGCGAGCGCCAAGGGCCATACATGTTCCAGAAAGGACTGCTCATGCAAAGGCCTAGGAAGCGGCCCGAACAGGGTTTTTCGGCCCGAGGGAGCCGGCAAAGGCCAGTAAAAGAAGGCTCAAAGCAAAATTAGAAGGCTCAAAGCAAAATAGGATGAGGTTGGATAGGGCAGAGGCCGAGGGCAGGAGAAAGGCCAAAAGTGGTGATTTGGGGCCGGGAAGCACACACACCTCCTCATCACATCACACCTTCTTTTGCACCGAGCACGCGATGATGGTGCAGAATGATGAATGAAGGAGTGTCGGCGAAACTAATGAAGAACGGCATGAAAGTCCGAATGCCTTTGGGTTTAAAGCTGCCGCTTAGGCACGTACACGTAAACTAACCGAAAACCTACTGTCGTGTGGACCGACTTGCCCTCTGTTCTGTGGAAGTGGGGAATCGGGGCTTGTGGCATCAAGATCGAGAATCATGCCATCGTCTCCCAAATGGCCTGAGGGGATGTAGAAGAGACGAGTTTGAATGAGAACCTCGGGCTAGTTCCGAATGAGACAAGTAGTTTGTGCTTGCGGACGGATGAGGCATTCCGAATGTATCGGAGTGCCCTCACTTTGTCAGAGTGTTTGGCCGGTACACACACACACACACATGGCCCTACCCTTGTAGTGGTTGTCGAGTCATACTTTGCAGAGATGCATGCAGCATGCGTTGCAGATGGCACAGATGTGGGGAATGCAATGCAGACAAGCTCTTGCAGGAACGGCCCGGAGGCGTCCCCCCCGCACCAAACAAACCAAGCGAACCAAAAGGGAGAACCACTCGGGGGCCACCAAGTCCCCAAAGGGCAGCGACGCCCAGTCAGAAGCCACAGGTCGGGGCTCAAGTATGGCTTGCAGTGGCGCATCGCACTGGTTACAGACAATAGAAAGCAACATGTGGGCATGTAAGTGGAAACCTAGTTCGGTTCTGAGCACAAGGGCATCTCCTCTGAGATCCTTTCACGCCAAAGATATGGGATTCTAGGTTTGCCTCATTTGGGGTGATGCTGGCGGTTCCAACGTTCCAAGCATCTCCAAGCTCTCAACCGTAAGCTCCGAAAGCGCCAAAGCCCTTGTCGCCAGGTACCCGAGCCCAGCGGAAGCTGCGTGGCCTCCAGTGGGCCCAAGCTCATGACCTTCTACCAGTACAGTGCTCCCGGGCCTGTTCAGGGGCATTCTTGACAGTTTTTGGACACAGATTTCCAATTGGACTGTTTGCTGCAACTCTGGTCCTCTTCGAAACTTCCAACCAGACAGTGCTATTTTGACAGTGCTCACCGAGGGCACAAGGGCATACTCTACCCAGGCACAGAAGAACCAGAACACCGACAACCGCGTTTGGGAGAATGTGAACCTCGCCACTTCGGCAGCGGTCTTCCAACAAAACGTTTGTTCCTCCAACGGCTGCCAGCGCTAAGCGCAAATGAGAGAGGAACAATGTGGATGTCGTCGATTTCGGTTTTGGAGAGCTTCCGTGGCAGGGTTGGAGTTCTGCGGTATTCTGTAGTTCCTGTGTGCTTAGGCCTTAGGCCAAACATGCAGGAAGCCTTAGTGGGACATCAGTCCATAGGTTCGAAGGCTGTTTTCACTGCGCTGTAGAGGACAAGGTGCCATCGACCAGCACTCAAGCTCAGAACAAGGTAGCAGAGGCGCAAGTGTGGATGGCTTTGGACTGTGTTGTGTTGAGGCCAATATTGGCGGTGTCATGTTCTATTTGCACAACGAGGCTGGGATGTTGCTGTTTGTGGAGCACCGCTCCCTCAGCAGATCCTTTATCCACGTTCAAACGGTCCTTCGCAATTTGACATACGAAGCGCGAAGATTCACACACTTGTCCTACAGTCTCTGTAGGTTCTACACCTTCTAATTACACAGCGAGTGTTTGCAGCGAGCGTCCAAGCAACGAGCCGCAAGTTAAGTAGGTGAACGAGTAGGTGGTGGACAAAGATGGCGAGATGCGCAACGAGCAGGGCGATCGGACTCCAAAGTTCAACATCGACCGCATCATGCGGTTCAAGGCGCCTCAAAAAGGGTCCTGTGCAGACAGCGGTGCATTTTTATCTCACAATGCAGGATGCCGCAGGAACTCGTTCGTTGGAAGGTTGTTACGGATCTCATTCCCACCCTAACCTGTGGAGAAGTTGAGTGCAGTTGTCATCCTACCATGCCTTCCCCCAAATTAGAAAGGATCATGCGGCCCAGGTGACCATGATGAACCCCAATGCTCTCTGGAAGCAGTACAAGTCGCAGTTCGGGCGACTCAGCGCATGAGTCATGTCTTATCCAAATGCCATGTAGGCCATGAATGTGTCGAACATCGCGGAACCCGCAAGTATCCCAAGTGCTGCGCCCGAATGTACACGAGGTATGGCACAGCTGCCCAGAAGTCTGCTTGCCACCGGGCAACACACCATACACTCAACCATACACTGTCAACAATCGTTAATATGTCGCGGCTGCTGCTCTTTAGTGTCCAAGCAACGAGCTGCAAGTAGGTGGTGGACATAAGATGGTTGCGCAAACCGCAAGACTGCCAGGCTCCAAACTGCAAGCACGTTGTCCAGTGCTAGAGGATGGAGCTTTTAGGATCTCGTTCCTGCCCTAAGCTGAAGAAAAGTTGAGCTCCAGCACCGGGTTGTGATGTGTTGGGCACATCTTACCAAACAAACCCTGCTCATTTGCACGATCGGCCTTCGCACAGAAGCAGCTCGCAGTCGAGGCGAGGCAAAAAAGGCATGCGACCAATGCAACTGTTGATGGTTTCGGGTGTCCCCGGCATGTCCACGATCACAGGGCATCATTCTTGCAACACGGCTGCGCATCCCCGTGCCTGCCACAGGGTCTTGGCCACCTTACTCCGCGAAGCGCCGTGTTCAGGTTGTAGAAGTGCTGCAGGGTACACCTACCGGAGAACTAAGAGTTGGCACAACTGCAGGGAAGCTGCAGGACTTGCCGATTTGCAGTCCAGATGCCAACAAATATTGTAGGGTTTAGAGGTTAGCACGACCCAATGTTTGAGGAAACTATCCGTGAGCAGTCTAGGGTGACGGCCATTTGCATGCCAGGCGTGTAAGGGAGTGGAGGGGGGAGGGTGGTTCCGGCTGAGGCCCCAGAAGCTGATGGCCTTGTCAGTTCATTTCAAGCTGGCAATTTGTAATCTTCTAATTATTCGAACCGATTGTCACACACTTCCGACATCGGATCCCAATCTCCGACTAAACAAATTGAGGCGCCGTGTCATAATTATATAAGCAAAATAAGGTCTTTCGAATCTAAGCATCATTAAGCCTTTTTTCGCTTACAAGAAATTAAGAGGGGGCTTTTCAAGTTCTATACAGTTTGGATAGCGCCCGGGAGTCATTCAACAAAACAAGCTCCTTAGCTGCGTCATAAACCCTGTACTTCTGTTGCAATCATGTTGAGGGATCCGAAAAGTTTTTAAGCCCACAAGTTCGGTGAGTAGAAAACAAAACGCTCAATGTTTCAAAGATTCGGTTGTGCGCTATTCAAGATGGTTGCACAAGCTTTGTGCGGCAATTTAGCTTAGTGCAAGCAAGACTCCCACCTGCACACTCCTAGATTTTCAATCCATGCACAACGACGCAAGGCAATTCATCCAGTTCGACTACGGCCAAGCCACTTTTGGAATGCCGGATCACGTCGAAAAGTGTGGCTTGCCTCTTCAGTCCATGATTCTGAAGGTGCTTTCTAGTCATCTATATAGCAGGAAGCACAGCTCTCGTATTACCCACCTGGCCTCTGCATAGTCGTGTACAAGCTGACCGGAATAGCCTTTACAAATGCGATTTTGGATGCCTGAGGGCGTCTTGAAAGCAATCTTCTGTCCAGTGACAGGGCACCTTTCGTTGCTGAGCCGTGCATGTCTCCACATATGTTGCAATGATTGCTTCATCACCAGCCCCTCGAAGCTTCAGGCTCTAACTCAGACAGTTTGCAGGTAGCAAGGCCAAGCAGTGAATGCTCGAGCCAAGGCAATGCAATCTGGGAGACGATGGGATATGAGGTGCTGGGCGGCAGCATGCCGGGTTTGGATCCGCTTGCTACCAATGGTTGTTTTGCAGGGACTGCACGCAGATTGCAATTCTACATCGACCCTTCTTTCTCACAGCTGCCACCATGTGTTTGGTTTCAGGGTTCAGCTACATATGCCATAAGACATCAGCAGCTGGCAGGAAGATCCTGTGCTCAATGGCGCTTTCGCACGAAGTTTGGACGTGCAGGGTCGAGGTCTTTCAGTTCTGGAAGTCGTTTGTTGAGGTCCACTTCGGAGCCCTTGGAAGAACATGCCCTGGTATGTAAAAGATTGTAAGTCATGTTCATGTAAGGGGTGCTTGGACCCTCTTGTAGAGGCTTCCTGCAATTGTTTTTGCAGGTGGGCTGCCAGCCTAATCCCATCGGCATCTCCGGCTACGAGGGAGGCCCCGCAAGCTGGCCCTGCTGTATTGTTCATGACCCTGTGCCCACATTACGCCAAACCGTTCATCCGCCAAAACAAACATATGCGCCCCCAATGTGCACTCCTGGAATCGTCGCCGCTCCACAAGTTGCACTAACTGCCAGTGCTGCAAGAAGCCAGTGCAGAGACCCTTCAAGGCCTTCATAGGCTTGTGTTCTAAAGAATGCTGCAGAAATCGACATTGCGGGCGGGGACGCTCGACCTGGCATCTTGCAGCCCTCTTCGAGGCTACTGGACCTCATGGCCCGGACGCTGCCCCTCCATGCCCTTCTCAGACACTTGTCTTGTGGCAAAGGCAATTCGGTGGGGCCTCATTCGGAGTAACTTCTGTAATAGCTTCGGGTTCTCAGAATAGTTTCTTAGACTCGTAGACGTCAGGATGCAGCGGTCGAAGCCCCAGGAGGTGAATATCTAGCAGCAATTTTATGCCCCTCAGATTTCTGCCGGTCTCTACTCAACCTGCAAAGCAGCAAAATCTAGAAACGCCAGCCCCCTGGACCCTCAGACCCCAAACCTCCATGTGCTGTTTTGGAGCCGCATATAGACATGTCGGAGCAAAACCAGCAATTTTAGGGCGTGGTGCGTGCTGACCGGAAATTGTGCACATGGCAGTCCATGCGACCTAGGACAAGGCCCCTCAGGGCGGATATGCAAAAACAGCAGAGTGCATGAAGCGGCAACCGGGAGGCCGGATCAGAGTTTGAAGCGTAAAGGGATCGTTGCTGAGTTTAAGGGATGAAGACTCTTGACTGAAGCAACTCCGGAAGCGGTTCTGATGTTGTGACTTGCTCTTGGGATCGAACTGTCACGACAGGTAACGCTTACCGTAAAGGAATTCCCGAATACAGTAGATGGCACACGGTCAAAGCCATGAATGCACCATATCTTAGAATGAAGAATGCCCTACCAACAAGTAAAGTAGATGGCAGGGAGATGGTATCAATCGAGATGCACCGGGTGTTGAGGCCTTGGGCTATCCAGGCCCCTGTTGGAACCTCCTGGATACCTCTTTCGCGCAGACCATGCGGGCTTTCCCGCATCTCTTCTGCTTGGATGTACCTCCGTAACTAGTGCGGTTTCTCTGTTCATGGGACTTTGGTGTGAACACTAGCACACCTGCTGTCTTACAGCACTGGCAAGAAACGACGCGGGGAGGACACATTCGCCTTAACGATGCTTGTATTCAGGGTAGGAATTTGGCCGAAGCATGTGACCGCATTGAAATTCGTGAGCGCCTATCCCTCAAGCCCACCAGCCCTGCAAAGACTTCATTAGCTCTGGATTTTCCAAGTTTGGGCACCTTCTGCGACCTGATTGCAGCAAAGCCGCACGTCGTTTGCAGTTGTTCTGCTTGGGGCAGGTTCCTGCGGGCAGCCGGCTGCATGGCAAAAGCTTCTTGCAGGGCCTATCATAATGCAAGTAGGAGTAAACATGTGACCTGACCAAGTTGGTTGGACATTGAGATGTTACAAACAGCAGAAGCAAGTGTTCTCGTTGATGGCGGCATGTTATCTAGGGCACAGGATTCAAAGCAGCAGTCGAAGCTTCATGAATCGGGTGTGACCATATTGCTGTGCCCGACCCGGACATCGGTCCGCAGTGACCTCAAAACCTTCTAAGCTCATCCTCATCGGAGGACGGTAGTGCTACCTGCACCTGGCACATAGAGCCTGCAGGACTCGGACCTTGAAGGGATCCAATGCAAGCTGGTGTTTTGTGTCCAGAGTATGGGGCCTTGGCAAACAAGGGGGCTGTCATGCAGAGCTCGTGTGGTCCCGGTCGTCCTGTCGCTTGTCCCTGCCAAGGCAATCACAGTCAGCACTCCGTCGGCAGCATGTGTTTGCAAGAACTTCAAAGATCCTCCTGATCCGAAGATCCACCGTGCAAAGCCAACAAATCGAACATGATCTATGACATGCAAGCGGAGATGCCAAGGCTGAAAGCTGCCAAATAGCAGAACTGACATAATTCATAGTGCGTACGAAGTGCCCCAGAGCCGGATCAAGCATCGTGGGCTATGTAGCCCCTCGAGAGGCTTCGGGTCACCATCTTTATTCTCCCAGGATAATGGAGTCGGTATTTGAATGGAAGGTTCGACAAAGATCGCTGCCCATTCACCATGAGCAATCGATTGCAGACATCCCGAACCTATTTTTCAACTCGTCAGCATCGCCAAGTCGTATCGGCAGTCGTGTTGGAGGATTCATTCTGCTGAACGACCTCGTGGGCGAGGACCTGACGAAACTATACAAGAACGGCGGGACACAGTACGACAAGAGACTTGGCCGAATGTTGGGCAGTCCCTGCATCTTGTACCAGAGGATCTCGACAAAGCGGCGCCCACACGCCCTGTAGATGATGCCCGCAAGTCTCATCGCTGGCGTAAGCATTCAGAAACACAGAAATGAAGCCTCTCATATGTCAGGACGACGGACAAGGGCGAGGGTACGGACTTCTGGGACGGCAAGAAAGACCAGGCGAAGTGCAAGGAGCTCGTTGCTGAAGCCTTTGCCCTGAAGCCTCGACCTTCCGCGAACCTTAACTTTCAACGAAAGCTGGTGAATAGTATCAATCGGATAAAGGTCAAGCCGCTTCCTCAGGGAGACCGCTTAAAGTCTCGGGCCTTCAAAACCCTCGCTCGGCCGGATGTCCAAGCCCTCACAAAGCCAGGAGCGCGAAGACAAGCTCCTGAGCCTTGGCATATTGGCACAAGGAGTCTCTGGCAGGTTGGAGCCCGTAGCCGCTCCTACTTGAGACACGATGCAACTTTCATGCAGCTCTTATGGGCAAGCTCCCGCAAGCTTCAACCCCCTCTAGGCCGCAGCCTGCAATCGGAAAGATGGACCAAGATGGTAAACACTAAGCTCGAAGGCCATCGGGAGATGTAAGCTCTGCATGTTGCGTGTCTGGATCCAGGAATCTCTTCGCGCAGAAATACAGGGATCAGCCAGCGGCACTGACAGACCCGAGGTGTGATTTCTGGCGTTGACTGGAGCACATGAAAAAGCCGCGTGCAAAGTCGAGTGCTGCATTTTGGGAAGTATGAGCGGGGTTAGCCACAGCACACAAGTTGTGCTTCTCCTGAGGCAACTTGACCTTGATGTTGCTGAGGTCCCTGCAAACCCATCTTTAGAAAGGTCGACAGCACGTGTGCATCAACATGCGCTGCGTGGGTTAAGCAGGGGGTGAGGCTTGGCCTGGACAGGCCATCTTACAAATATGGGACTGCGCTCACCTCCAACTACCTCCAGGTTACCTCCACGCTGCTATGACAAAGCCATACAATAAGCCAGCAGTCTGCGACACCGACGGGCGGGGAGGTCTTGAATTCAAGGCGCAGGAAGCTCAGATGAAAGAGTGCTCGAAGCACACCTAAGTATCGAAATGTTGCATCTTCAGACCCCGCGTAGCTGTTTTGGGCTTGCACCCTTTCGAGGAGTTCTGAATGCAAGAGCTGACCGATATTCCGTTCTACGCTTTGGGTCCGGAAGCTTTTGGAGTGCTGCAGTTTTGGCTCCGGGCCTGCGAAGGCATCCTCCCTGCAAACCGGATATCGCCCGTCGACCTCTCCATTCACACACGGAAGGTGCCCATCCACCCGCACCCGAAACTTGAGCTTCAGCACTCCAGATCTCCGACGTGCACGCGCCTCTTCGGCGCTGTAATTAGTGTTACCAGCAGTCCAAGGCGGGTGGACCATTCAAGCCCACGTGCAAATGAAACCCCGTCCCAGACCAAGCACCTTACTCCATTCGAACACCCACCCCTCTAGAAGCGTGTGCCAGCGCAACACAAGCTTGTTCAGTGTAAAGCACCGCTGCCACAATGGACCCGAAATGCTCGGCCGCGAAGCTCTTCCAGGAGGTTGGGACCTGAGGGAGTAATCGAAGAGTGATGTTTCAAGAAGCACAGAGACAACGTGTGGAAAGGCACAGGGGCATTGAGTGAGAGGTCAAATGAAATTCGATGATTCGTCTAATACTTGCGAACATCTGGCTTTTCACTTCTTGTCAAGGCTTCGGCAGGGTCACACTGGGAATGAATCATGCACAGGGCCAGGCCAGACTAAGGTGGCGAAGTACGTGGGCTTAGTTTCAGGACGTTTCAGGCAACACATGGCAATACCCACGATGATCAAAACTGAACAAGGCGACAGCAATGGCCGAGGGCGGGTGTTTTCGCCGAGCTGCCGAGCTGTTTGACAAGGTCCGAGGCTTTTGATGGTGTGCGGTGTCCGTGCCTCGTAGATGCAGATGCAATCGGGAGGGCATGGCACATACAAGAAGGCCAGAGGCCTGAAGATTCTGGACACTCCAAGCAGGGGTTTTCATCATTCACATGCTCGACAGGCTTCGCAGCAAGATCCGACTTCGGCCAAGCCTTACGAGGCATCCCGCCTATATGACCTGCCATTCATAGCCGCACCAAATGCGCCACTTGCGCATGCCCGCAGCCTCGTTTTGAAGAACGCAAGTCTTAAGTTTATGTGTGCTGATGTCAAGCTTAGGCTTCCTTGGCAAACCCACATGTGCCCTTGACAGCATCGGCCTTTGCCAGGCCCGAGCCCAGTGCTTGCTCGAGCTAGAGGAGTCGATCGGCTGCAAAGGATGTGGCGTGAGAACGGGCTAACCCGCTCGGGGGCCGCCCATAAAGACGTCACAAGTTTTTTAACATTCAGAGAAGAAACATGCTTGCCTACAGCCGGGAGATGGGTAAATTTAGGGCGCCTCATCCAAGCACTGGGCCAGTTAAGTTAAAGTGTTTCATCGTCCCGGTGAATTGCAAAATCGGGGAAGGGAGAAAAGAACTGCGCAGCAGAAGAGAAAAAAGGCAAAGGCAAAACGCACAAACAAAAGCGGGACCAGCACAAGAAAACCCGCTGTCCATTTGTGTGATATATATATATATATATATCATATATATATATACTGTTATTTGCAGATGCTGCACTTAGCAAGTAGAGCCCGTGAAGAGTGAGAAGCGCCATGGCCTGCAGTATTTGGAGCTTGTGATCAGTCAAAACTCTGCAATTTGCAGCGTGTGGCGTTTGGGGCTTATGAAAACGCTGTACTTAGAAATGTTGTGACTTGCCGCGTTTGGGGCCTGTGGACAGTCAGAAATGCTGTCAGTTACAGCATGTGGAAGCTGTGAGCAGTTGAGACCCCAGGTTCGATGGCGCCGTAGCTGCTGCAGAGGCTGCGGTAAGGCTAAGTGCCGACTGGATACCGGGCAAGGCACCTCGGGATAAATGAAGAAAAAAGACGCAGAGAACCGTCTTCGACGTCGTTCGGGCACATAGATTTTATGAGGGTCTCCGAATGTGTTTGGAGATTTCCTGATCCAAGCTTAGACCCGGAGCCTTTAACGCTTTTACACCGGTTTGAACTGGTGACAGTTGATACTTTTACCTTGCTGAGATTCTGAATATGTTGGAGGACTTTGCCAGCAGTTCTCGAAATTCTGGACGATGTTTGCACAATACGTAGGTCCTGTGGTCAGCACAATTGAATTGCCAGATGGCCCAAAGCGCCTTGACTAAGCCACTAAGCCACGTACCCCTTCCCTAACCCAATAATAGGGCAGATATTTGCACACAGGCGACACTGGGGCGAGCGTTGTTTAACGCCGGACACCTCGAGGCTTGTGGTTCGAAGGGGATTCGTGGCCGAGTGAACATTCTTAGACGGGGATCTCCAGATTTTGAGCGCAATTGCTTCGGTCGAGGGAACTCAGCTCGATACATGATACCGAGACAGGCATCGACCGAAGATGCGAACAGACATGTCGGTGCACGGATGATTCCGGTTGTTCCTTGCACCAGTTGCACTATTTCAACCCGAAGCCTTTCAAGTTCAAGCCATGCACAAGCAACAATGCCGTGCGAATTGAACAAGCAGTTGCCTCAAGCAGTCCAATTTTCCACCGGGTTGCTGTACGAATCTCCTCGGAGCTTGAGGATGCAGTCACCCAGTTCGAGGAAGCGTTGCAGCTGGCAAAAGGCAACAGCCTCCCTGCTGATGGCTAATGGGGCAGTTGTGTAGGTTCCTGTTCGCAAGGGGGAGAAGGTTTACGGTTTACCAATTCCACTCCAAGGTACTCCTCCGCCACCTTTACGCCAAGTCGCCTCTAGCATGTGAGGAGCGAGATTCCCCGTAAGCGTGGCATATTTCTGCAGCGCAGCTTCGAGGGCCCAAAAACCAACATGAAGCCTTGCTATGCATGACACAAGCTCGTGGTAGTCGATGAAGATGTCGTACCTTGTGGTGATTTCTTCGTGGGTGAGTGGGCTGGATTGATTGACAGAAATGCTGCGGTCGGTTTCATGTTTCTCTCCCTTACGATCACATCCATTCAGCAGTCACCTTCATTTCATGTTGCAGCTTTTTGGAGGTACTGGGTCGCTGGTCGAGGGATTATGAAGAACCACGAGGTAGAAATTTCCTGACTCTCCGAAGCCCTTAAAAGACTGAAAAGCCATCAGCGTCCTAAAGCCCTCGGTCGCCAAGATGCCGACTGGGCCACAGAGCTCGGCGCAGAGTTGGTCGAGTTCAGCAGCCTCTTGCACCAGCCACCTGGAATGCCATAAATGCCCGAAAGTGAATGTGAATTGGAGCATATCTCTACGGAAGATCCTGCCTGATCCGGCCGAAGTGTGGACTCATTTGTCATGGAAATTTTCTCTAACATCGGCATTGCGTTGTCGGCATCATAGTATCGGTCTAGAGGTTGTGTTAACAGAGTGCAGCAAGAGTTTGAAGTGTCGCTATGTGTGCGTGTGTGTGTGTGTGTGTGTTCTTCTTTTGTTCCTTTTTGGGGGAAGGGTGTCTGGCTTCGGAAGCTCCATCTTTTGGATGTATGTTGCTGCCTTGTCCAAGTTTAAGGATGTGGCTTGGAGAAGCTCCTAGATCTTGCTGCTGGACTTCTTTTGTCTATTGGAAATTCCATCTATAGTTGTCTTCTCTGTCAAGCTTCTGGGACCGTTTGCCTTCTTCGGAGGCTTGTAAGAATCTTCAGCATGCCCACAGAAACGGCGCTGCCTCGAAGGCACTGGATGGAGTACCATGACGTCCTGCTGCCACTGAGGCCGGAAGAGAGAAGAAAAGAGCGAGAGAGAGGCAGCGGCGCCGTGCCCTTGGAGATTCCTATCATTCCCATGGGACATGAAGCATCAGCGAAGCATCAGTGAAGCATCCCTCCGTTGCTGGAGGCCAGGTGTGGAGCTGCGCGTGCGGCAGGCGTTAGATTGCCGCTACTGCAAGCTCTCGCTCCGTGGCACACAAAGGACTTTGCCACACACACACACACACACACACACACACACAGAGTCTCACTCTCACTTACTTCACACATTCAGACCGCCAGCATGTCACAACTCACAGCTGATGCGTTCAGTTTTGGTGGTTCCGTTGGACAGCTCCATATCACACAGGGAATCCTGAAGCACAAAGAAAATGGCGGTGTCAAGCACGAGGCTGCGGCATAGCAGTTGCAGAAGTCAGTCACAAGAGCCATCCTAGCCCTGAGCAAGTTAAGGAACGCAGAGCTCGGCCCTGGGGGGGCTGTTTGGGCCGCTGGCTGCATCCTGGCGACCCAGGCTGCGGAAATCGTGGGCGCACTCGGGCCGAGGCTTCCCCCTGTGGGCTTCCCCCGTCCTTTCCGAGCTTTCGGACGTGTGGTTTTTCAGGGATTCGTCAGCAGGTCTTTGCCAGCGCCTTTTGGTGCGTGTCATCACATCATGTGCCCAGGCTATTGGCAGCTAAAGGTACGATAGTTGCCGGCTTGAGCCCCAGCCCATGCCTCTAAGATTGGCTGCAATGTTCCCCTGGGTTCATTTGCTTACTCGCTGCGGTTGTTTGTACTTATTGTTTGGGGGCAGCTTCTGCGGCATCGTATGATCAAGCCAGGTTTAGGACCGAGCTGCTCGGCTCTTGAGCAATTGTCATTGCTCTCACGTGTTCACACCAACTTGGCATTTTACCCGATCGCGGT